TGTGTGTGATTTCTCTTTCTCCCTGGCTCCTGTGTTTGTGGGGACACTGTCTGCTCTGTGGTACAGAGTCCTGATCACTCCTGACTTGCATCAATGAAAGTTTAACATCTGCAGATTTAATGTTTTTGGGGCTTTATGCCAACACTTCTCTCTGCCTCAATGACTTAGATGGAGGAATTATATCTTATTTTTTTTAAGTTTGATGTTGAAATAAAAGCCTCAGGAAGCAAATTATCAGCATTTTTGGAATAAAAATGTCAGAAGATTGACATGAGATGAATTAATATAAAAACATGTCTGCTTTTGTTGAATAACAAGCTTTTTGGGGTTGCAGGTGCGAGTTGGAAAAACCTCCCTGTAGGGGGAGATAAATTTATTTAATTAGAGTAAAGTGTGATTTTTAAAGTTTAATTAAATGAAAACAGTACTTTTATTTAAGGCCTAACATTCCTTGAAGAAAATGCATATCACCCGCCACCTTTCATGCCCGACTTAAACAGAAATTATTATATTATTAGAAGAGATGTCATTCTCTTCTCCCCTCAGGCTTTAATCTATTTTCAGAGTTTTTGTTAATTTATCAGTGATATTTACCTTGCAGCTGTATGTTTAGGTTTACTTTTTAAGTATACATTTAGTTTCAGTTAATTGTTTGAGGCTTTTGTAAAAGTGTCAAGTTAGACTGTGACTGGGAATATCAGCCTGATGCTGGACCATTGTACAAAGGATCACATCTGGAGTGAGAAGCCTCTGGCTCCAAAAACACAACATGGCAGAATATGATAATATAATAATATATGTATTTCAAAAGGGACAATTAGAGTTACATGTAAGCCTAACATGATGTTTTTGTCTGTGGGAGGAGTACCTGAACAAAAACCCACAAACGCACAAGAAGAAAATGAAATGTAAAGGTTCAGTTAGGAAACAAACCTGCAACTTTCTTGCTGTGAAGTCACAAACACTGTGCCATCATCCTCAAGTACAATTGGAAAATGGTTCTTTAACTTCAAAAGATTTATAAAGAAGCATTTTTCCGTGAACTAATCCTAAAAATATCAGTTATTCTAAAAATTTACATCTTCTATTAAAGTCATATTTATTTGTCACAGGGCTGCTACAGACTAACATCATGTAACAGACTAACAACTGTGTAAGGTTTACACAGAGAATGTTGCTGTTGTTACTTTTTGTTGCTAGAGGGTGCTGTTGTGACAGTGTAGGACAGACAAAAATGGTGCTAAAAAGAAATGCAGAGTAATAAAGAGGATGAGGCTGAACCGCTGCCTCTTGTTTTTTTATTTTTTATCTATGAGGAGGAACATTATTTGTTGTAGAAAATGTGTTTTCTGTGAAACAAATTCAGTTAATAAAGTCACTGGTTTAATAATCAATCTTTTCAGAGAACAAGAATCCCATTTTGTCAGAGTGTGATATTTTGAGGACCTCTACAAGAAAAATATTTAGCTGTATGTATAAGAATCAACAAGACGTGAATCTACCACACCAAACAGGACCTGAGCTGTAGACTGTGTACAGGAACACAGTCTGAGGATGGACTGGAGGTCCACCAGTCACAGTGCGAGACCAGCAGAGTTAAGGTACTGCAGGACTTTCACATCCAGACTGACAACCAGGTGATAGCTAACCAACCAGATGTCAAGCTCCAGCAGAAGGCAGAGGTGTTAGACGTAGAGATTCTGTAACATCTGGAAATATGAAGAGCTGAACAAGGAGATGGAAAAGTTTTAATTGATCAGGATATTACTTCTCCGGGATACATTTTGTCAACTTTAGTGAAACTATTTATGCTAGTAATTTAAAACTATTGTACCATAGCTTCATAAAAAATACAAGACACCAGAGCCCTGCTCCCTGGGTAGGTGTGTCCTTGTTAGTGATGGATAATTTGAAGCTGAACCAACCAGTGAACGTCTTAGTGACACATGTATATAGCCAGACAGAATTGTTGTGTTGTATAGTTTAATAGTTTAGAAGCACTTTTACTGCAAGTAAAATAAAAACCTATATATCAGACATAAATATAAAAAAATAAATATACATGTATATAAGACTATAGGATACAATATGAACTATCCAGGCCTCCCATGCAAAAAAGATCTGTGATCTCAATTAGCCTGGTATATATATATA